ATTTTATTTTTTAAATTATGAATTTAAGTTATTAAAATTTTTAAAAATTAAATAAAAAACTAAAATTGTATTAAAAGTAGGTTAAAAAAAATCTTTGATCTGCCAACCTTGCTTGGACTGGCGCTTATCTCCCTTTTTTCTTTTTTGATAGATTTTTTTTTTTTTTTATCTTAATAGAGATTTTTATGTTTAGAATAGTCGGCAAAACTGGATAAGTCTTCTGCTTTTTCCTTTTTCCATTTTATTTTAATGTTTCCTTGTGAACACGGTTAATGATGAATCCACTCAAAAAGAGTTTTCAATTTTGTAATTTGGTCGACACAAGATTATAAAATTAAAATTATCAAATAAATGGGCTCGTTCTTATTTTTAGGCCAAAAATGAGCTGCGTTTGTAAGAGTCAAGATACATGGCATTATTTAATTCAACAAGAGTTCAAAACTTCATATTTGAGCACCAAGGTACCTTTTCTTCATATAGAAATAGAATTCATGAAATAGTTGAATAATTTCATTTGTGGCAATTTTTTTTTAACCTAATTACATCTAATTAGGCTTGCAGGCATGTAGATGCAAAAACTTGCGAAGAAAAAGGAAAATACTCCTAATATTCATGTTGCTTCAACGGTTGGAAACTGCTTATCAAATGTTTCAACATTTTTGACACCTGCCAAGAACGACAGAGCTCTAAGAGGCAGAAGCTGTTATAATACAGGCAGGGCTTGCTGAGCCATTGTGTTTTACCTTTGTGAATCTAAATGGTTTAAACCCTAAAATGAAGAATTTGTCCATCTCCATGGCATGTTGCATATTGATTTTTAGTGATGCTTTTATTCACGTTCAAGCAAAAATTAATCATGTTGCTTGAAATGTTTCCTATGTCAAAAAAAATCAGGTTATTTTATACATGTAAGAAATGTTTCCTATACAGTCATACATGAAGAATGGAAGGAAATTAAATCAACTTACAGATATATGCTAGCTAGCAAAAATTTTAAGAATGAATGAATTTTTGAAGTCTCATATGTTTTCCCAGAGATAGTTGAAAATAGGTCTCCCTAGCACTGGTATGCACTTGACTATCTAGACAAGGGACCAAGAGAATTTAATTAAACGAAACCTAAACCCTAATTTATTTTCATTTATAGTTCTTTTTTATTGAGAAAATTTCTTTAAATTAAGTAGTTTAATTTTATTCAATTAATTAACTAAATCAATTTAGGTTAGATTAATATTATTTTAGTAGTGTATAATAATTTTCAAGAAAACAATATCTTACTTAATGTGTATTTGGTGCATCAATAATTCTCTTGAATTTGATCCTTTCTTCACCGTTAAGATATTTCTTAGTTCCAGAGACCACATGATAGCTTAAACACATTGCTAGAATCGTCTATGCTGCTCCTTTCCAATGAACATGAATTGCGTAATCTTCTTTCTTCTTGACCAGAACACCACTCCGTTTCTTCTGGGAATTGAAAGCTTCTGCAAATAAAATTGTGAAATTCTGCTTCAACAACTCCATATCTATAACCATCACCATCTTCTTAAGCGGCAAAGCCCAAGAAAAAATTGTCTTTTCAGTTGGATTGCCTGAGAATTCAAATACGGACCCTAAAGGATATCTATAAATTTTCACTACCGGTATGTTTAGCGCAACTCCTTGATGGATCAAGCCAGAAATCAAAAAGAAGAAGCAGAAGAATCAACTTTATCCATGGATTCATGTCCAATCCAAGACTCCTTCACCTTCATCTGGTTAAGCGTGAGGGTAATGGTTTTATTGGTGACAATGATGCTGACAGAGCCTATAGTATCGAAAGCAGAGGCCTCAACACTTTATTCTCTCCATGGCTTCCGCTAAAGTGAGCTTAACAATAGCTGCGGCAGCAACAATCCCCTTGACAGCATTCACTACATTGTGCGCCTTTGTCTTATTGCTGTCTTCCGTGTTTTCATTCTTGTCAATTGCAATATTGTTGGTGAAGTCACTGACAACAAGAAGTAGCACAAGAATGATTTTACAAATCGTCCGCATGGACTGCGCTAGCTTCTTCACTTTCATTTGCAGTGGCGTTTGCTCGTTATCATCAGATTTTTTGCTCATCATTTGCCTCCAGGTGCTGTTCATTCTAACGAGAGTGACGAGTGTGAAAATTGGGCATATCAGCTTCCATACAAGATTTGTATTTATTCTAAATCTAATTAGTAATAAATGGAATATCCTGCTTTGTACCTTGTATTTAAGCCACAATTTCATTGTTATATCCTCAATATGAGATTTTCTATTAAAGAGATGAAATCATAAGATGATTAATTTTATTATAAAAGGAAGAAAGAAAATGAGATTGATGCTATCGTAGAAAGAAAAGAAATTACACCATTATGTAGATTGGTCAATAAAAGAGAAATCAATTTACAGATTAATTGATTTCAAGGATTTGCTAATTACAAATTAATTGGTTTCAAGGATTTGCTAATTATCTGTCTCCCAGGTAGGACAAGTAAATTTGCAATGTAAAAAATGTCTATACAAAGTACTAACAAGTGACAAACGATGCTTATTGTAGACATGGAAAAATTATTGGCTAATTAAAAAATATCATGTGTTAATTTGGGTCTTGAAAATAATATTATTTTGACCTATTAAAATTATTTTGATGATGGCTTCAAACCAATTACAAAATGCAATGTATCCTAATCATAATTCAAGGTATTTGAAAGGGAAGGCCTGTCGTTTAAGAAAGACTATATAAAAAAAATATTTATTATTTCAAACAATAAAATTAAAATATTCTTATTACTTGACAAATAAAAATAAAACGCGTCTTAAATTATTAAGGAAATAATTGGTAGAAAAGTTCTAATTTTAAAAGAATTCGTCAACCAATATCTACAAATAGGAGACTTCCCTCAGGCTTTTCCACACATACATTATATACAGAAAACCAAAAATAAATTGTAAGAATCAAGTTTTTTTGAAGATTTCTCATTGATGAAAAATAAACTGAAGATTGAAGAACATGAAAATCTAACCACTAAAGGATCAAAGAACATGAAGATCTAACATGTAAAAGATCAAAGAATGTGAAGAACGAAGATTGAAGATTGAAGATTGAAGAATGAAAAACAAGTGAAAAATGCAAGATAAAAAGTGTTTATCACTTGTTTCCCTATTAAAAGGGATTTTGATCTTATTTAACAAAGAAATTGAAGACCTTACTTGTTTGAAAACAAGTCAATAAGGACTCTCATGTAAAAAATCAAAATCAATATATTCTATTTGAAGAGAAGAATCATATGATTAAATTTAAAGGTGGCAATTAACTTACGAACTTTTATCAAATTTATAATTTCACACATAAATTTTCAATAAAATAATTTTTAACGTGGACACCTACATCATAGCTAATTGTTATTCTTATTTTTTGATGACTACAAAATTGAATGTCAATTGAGAAGTTAAGAATTTACGGAAACTAAAAGTTTACACACCAATTACATTCTCATTTCTCAATGGTATATTTAGCATTAAAAGTTTCATATTTACTTTTGGAAATAAATTCATGGAGTAATTTGTGCTTTACTTCTTTTAAGAATTTAAATCTCATCTTGAATATCTTTCCTTAGCTAAATATTGACATTTCCTTGCTGTTTGGCACATAGTGCTGTTGTTTGGACAATGATTAGTGCACACCGGGATTCAACACCCGAGTCTGCACCCCCCACATAAAAAAAAAAATTTGAACCGGATGATGGGTATTTTTTTTTTTATATGATGTGTGCACACCTGGGTGTTGGATCCGGGTGTGCACACATCATTTTCCTTTTTATTATCACACCAACAACACTTCCAATTTCAAGACTAAGATTTTACATTTATGACAAAATTTTCTTATATAAAGATTTTTTAAATCGAGTATTTCAAACCATTATAAAGTTTTAAAATTTGATTTTAAATTCTATGACATTGTTGCTCTCGACCCTTCTTATGAATGCAGGAAAGTCAAGAAATTTTAAAACATATTAACAAGTTTCAAAACATATTTATTATTCTAAACCTTATTCTTTGTGCTTCATATTTATTATTCAATCATATAACTGATTAATAGCGCTTTTTACTCTTTCATTACTAGAGTGAGAGAGTGATAAGGAAATCATTATTAGATCTAGAAAAAACTTTCTAATGGTTAAGAATGAATTTAAGAGAAATTGTAATAAGAAGACAAGTTGTTGAAAGTGAATAGTATTGAAAAAAACTATTATGTATGGTTGCCTTTACACTTACAAGTTGGAGGAGAATATTTGAATTCAAATGGAACTCTCAAACAAACAGTTTAAGGAGTAAATTAAACAAAAATTGTGATTAATTATTATAAATTATCCTATTTGATTTTTCTCCTCTTTTTTTTTTCTTAAAAAAAAAATTAGCTTAATTATATGTGCTTACGTTTGCTTATTTATCAGTTTGATTACAAAATTGCATAAGGTTTTTAGTATCTTAATTCACCTCTCTCTTGAGTTGTTATTTTTTGGACGGCACCAATTACTTGACGAAGCGGACAAAAATTAAAGGGCAATGACTTGTTACTTGTGCTTTTTATTTTTTATTTATTTGACATTAACTTATAAATTATATAATAAAAAATAAATTTTTTAAAATTTTTTTTGTTTATTTCAAAATTTAAATTTAAAATCTTAAATTTTTAATTAGTTTAGACAACTTTTGAAGAGAGGTGTTACTGGTGCTTTATTTGGGCACCTTTTCAGTCGAAAGATAAGCCCGTACTTACTGCCACTTACCTTGTCCTAGATGGTTCAGGATCCCATTGCTTTTGAAAACACTTGTTTTGTTTTTTTTTTAACAATTTATAATTATTTACAAGATTAATTGGGGAGGGAGAAAATGAGTTTCGTGAGGCTTGAACGTGCAATCCACAAAGGTGAACAACCTTAACTCAGGATCCGATGTCACTGGATCGGAACGGACCGTTCAAAACATTTGTTTTGTTAATTTCAAATAAAAAACAAAAGTTTTATGTAGTATAACCTATATTAAACCACACATTTAAACTATTAAATAAAGGAATTAACTTTTAATGTTGAAATTCTCTCCCTATGTAATTATTCTTCTTTTATAGTTTAATTTAATTTAAATTATAAAAATAAAAAATTCATTGTATTTAAATTGGCTTTTATTACTAATTATTTTAAGGCTGATAATATACAATAAATATTTTAATTCATATTAAAATTTAAATTT